CCCGCTCCCTGGTATACCAAGTATCTCTCTCTCACACACACACACACACACACACACACTGCACAGGAATCTGTTGGGTTGAGGGGTGGGGGAAAACCTTTGTTAACCACTTCCTGGCAAGAAGGCAGCCTGAGCTCCAGGACAGAATGCCTGGGGGGTGCTGGACTGGATGGGAGCTCTCGCCGTGCCCACCACGGGCATGGCTGGTTGGCGTTGGGCCACATGCAGGGCGGGGCATCCTGGCCCTCCCTTGGAGGATCTCAGATGTGGGGGAACCCTGAGAGATGGTCAGGATTCGGGAGAGCGGAGTGCAGAGGGGAGGCGAGAGGGAGTGTGGGGAGGCCTGGAGCCCCTGTGCTCTCTGGGTCTGTGCATCTGGGTCTCACACAGGCTCACACACACACACACGTGATGCACACACACATGACGCGCATGCATGCATGATGCACACATGCAGACACACATGACACACACATATACACATGACACACGCAAACACGTACACACATTCACTCATGTACACACATGTGCACACATCCACACACATTGTACACGCACACTTGTACACACACACACACACACATGCACGCGCACACACACCCCTCTGAGCCCTTCAGGAAGACGCCCCCCCCCCAGCTCCCCTCTCTCCTGAAGATTCATGAGGAGCAGAGATGAGCCACATGCTGGTTTGTCTGCCTTTACTCCCCCACTCCATGCCCCCACTCTGTCTCTCTGTCTCCCTGTCTCCCTCTCACCACCGTCTGTCTCCCTTTGACTCTGTCTCTCTCTGTTTCTTGCTCTCTGTCTCTCTCTCTCTCTTATCTCTGTCTCTCATGGTCTCTCTCTTTGTCTCTGTCTCTTCGTCTCTCTGCCTCCCTCTTGTGTATCTCTCAGTATCTCTCTCTCAAATACCCTAATACTAGAGTGTGCCTGAGCCTAGGGAGAGGCTAGGATCACTGAGGCCTTGAGAACAGGAAGTAGGAGCATACCTTACAGTGAGAGAACTCAATCTCAGACAAGGGTCCTGGGGGTCATGATAGCGGGGGTGGGATGGGGGTCATGATACACAGAGCCAGGGTTTGCACCCTCATCTGTCCACCCCCGAGAGGTCACCTGGCTGCCAGGCAGTATTGTCTGAGGGTCTGCCCAGGAGGCTGTTCTCAGAAGACTGCCTGGAGGAGGCACCCTTTCCTTCCTGAGCCCAGTGCTCAGGGGGAGGGCATGCCCTACCCTAGAGGCTGCCCATTGCCAGGTGGGATCCCTGATTAGGGGCCCCCTTCTTCTCTCTAATCACCCTCCCAGGGCCCACACCCACCACTGACTGGGCCCCGAGGTTATCCGTTTGTGACCCACGGGCCTCCACACACAGGCTGGTGCAGGCTGGTACCTGAGGTGGCGTGGGGCCCAGATGTGGTCCGCGGGGTGGGCTAGGTGCTAACAACCTTCATGAGGGTGGGGGTCCTGGGGAGTGATTCAGTTTCCTGTCCTTGCTCACAGGGGCTTGGGGCCAGACCACTGGGATTCACCTTCCCTTCCCCTTGGCCCAACCCTGTCATGCCCCTCTGGGTTAGGATGCCGGGGGGGAGGGGGGCTTTGTCATTTCCTGCCTTGCCCCTCATAAGGTGGGCTCGTTCATTCTTTGTCTGGGTCTGGCCCCAGGTCTACTGAGCGAGGGTCCAGGGACTGCAGTGGCCAAGGAAGACATGGACAGCAGCCCCTGAGCAGAGAGTGGCCTCTGGGGTCCCACCCCTTACCCTGTTTTCTGAGTTCTGACCCTTTCCATGGGCACCGCTGAGTGGGCTGTGACTCAGCCTCCGGGTGAGGCCGGATGGTCAAGGGGTCTGTTCTGAGCCACACTGTCTGCTGCCGGCTGCAGGCCGGGGACTCAGAGCTGCGCCTCCCCCCCCCCCCACCCCAGTTTCCATCTGGTGGGCTCATCAGCCAGGCCTGCGGGCCCCCTGCTCTGGGTGGGGCCCATCCTTTTCTTCCCGGCCGGAAGGAAACCTTTTATAGGGGGCTCCTCTGTCTACCTTATCTACTCGGGCTGCCGTGGGGAGGAAGGAACAGGCTCTTTGCGGGGCTCGGGGCAGGGGTGGGGGTGGTGGTGCTCTGAATTTAGCCGTGGCTTGGACACCTTTGCCTGTGTTGCCGACAAGTGACTGAACTCAAGTCTCAGTTTCTCTGTAAAGTAGGAAGTTGTTGGGGGCAGAGGGAGGCAGTGAGGGGCCGTAGAGGTGATCCGGGAGACAGGGCAAGGGCCAGATTCGGGCCAGGAAGTGCTCCCCGCGCCCCTGTCGAGCTGGGGGTACCTCCTGCCCTGAGTTCCTCTGGGACCTCCCAGATTCCATGCGTTGGATGAAGTTGGGGCTCACAGCACCACCGTGTGAGTGGGGCTGGGCCCTGGGGTCCCCATGTGAGACAAACAGGAGGCCAGGGGCTCCCTCTGACCCCTGGTGGGTAGTAGAGTGTGTTCTTTCCCCAAGCTAGTGATGGGGGCCGGGGAGGGGTTGACCGTGCCCCCCAAAGCCCTTCACGCCCCTCTTCTCTGCCTCCCGATCACCTAGGAATGCTGAGACCCGCCAGGACCCCCACACTGAGATGCAGTGGGGGAAGGGGGCTGAGAGGTTTGGGGGCTTCTGAGCGAGGCCGTGGAGGAAGCTGGAGACCCCGGCATTTCTCTGTGGCTTTGTGATTCCCCTGTTGTTCTAGCCACAGCTTTTTTTTTTTAACTTCCCATCGAGCCATGGACTGAGCCTCACCTGGCAGTGCTCAGGGCTTCCTCCTGGCTCTGTGCTCAGGGATCACTGCCTCCTGGCCAGGCTTGGGGACCCTCTGCAGTGCTGGGATCCAACCCAGGTCTGCCACATGCAAGGCAAGTGCCCCACTCGCTGTACTATCATTCCCGACCCCCCCCAACCCCCCGACCCCCCACACTGCCCCCAGTCCTTAATTTAATTTTTCAAACTCTAAGTCTGAGAACCAAGTCTGCAGGGGAGGCCCAGGAAGTGGCCTCTGGAGTCAGTCGGGGCTTGAGGAAACTCGCCCTGTCTCTGCTGGGGACAAACAAGGGCTGGCCTCTCACTGGGCAATCAGGACAAAGTCCAGCTGAGCCGGGCAGCCAGCGGTGGCCCGGCCCCAGCTTCCGCCTTGGCTCCCACGGGGATCAGCTGTCCCACTGGCCAGACTGGCTATGCTCGGGGGCCAGGGGTGGGGGGGTTGAGGGTGGGGGCTGGGAGATGGAGGCCCTACACCCTTCCCGGCCAAGCCCAGCCTGGGGAGCAGCAGGGCCCCGCTTGCTCTGTCAGGGATGCCTCCGGGGGCCTGATACACCCCTCAAGCCTGAATTCATCCCCCCCGGGGGCTCCGACAGTCCCTGGGAAACCAACAGCTTGAGCGTGAGGGTGTCCTCCAGCACTTTCTCGACACCTCCAAGCGCCAGGCACTGTGGAGGGAGCCCCAGCTCTCATTAAGCCTCCCCGGAACCCACGATTAAGGCCGTTTTATAGGTGGGAACGCGGAGGCCTTGCAAGGGTGCCGGCAGGGAAGAGGGAGAGTTAGCATCGCGGGGCGGGGAGTGAGGGGATGACGGGGCACCCCCCGCCCCATGCAGGGACAGACCCTCCCGAGCACCACCAGCCTGACTGCCACTCAGCCCCACAGATTTGGCAGAGGGTGGGCCTGCCTCACCCAGGGACCTGGACCCCCCGGGGGGCTCAGCCTAGGCCCTAGACCTGTGTTCAGGAGGTTCACAGTCTGACTGGAAGCTCTGTCCCTGCAATCACGCCCGTGCCTGGGAGGGCAGCCTTGACCTTGTGCTGACCCAGGGAGCTGCCCCCTGCCACCCCGCAGAGGCGGGTGATGATCTCAAAGGTCAGTTTCTGGCCCAGCCCAGGTGACACTGGGGAGAGAGAGAGACCAGGGAGGCCTGGGCGCCAGGAGCAGCCCACAGAGCTTCATCCTCAGGCAGCAATTCCTGTGGTGCTCCCCACACACGTGCCCAGCTGAGAGGAAGGGCCAGCTCAGTAGGATCCCCCCCTCCCCCCCGCGCGCGCTGGTAGCGCTGAGGCCTGCCAAGGCCAAAGAGGGTGGGGCTGAGGAACATGGGGGTGGGGTTGAGGAACATGGGGGCCAGGCAAATCAGGAAGGGCTCCACCGTCCACGTTAGAGCCCGTTTTTTTGGTAGCCGACTTGTCTGCCCCATCTCCTGGGGGGGGGGGGGGGCGGGACGGGGGTCTGTCTGTGAGGGCACGCTGGGATCTGATTGGCTACCTGTCAATATTTCGGTTCTGCTTTGGGGCAGGGATTGGGGTTCGGGATGGAACTATCCGAAATATGGTGGTGGGAAAGTGTCATGGTGGTGGGATTGGTGTTTGAATATGAAATGTAATCACATATTGTGAACTACTTTATAAAATAAAAAAAAATTTAAAAAAGGCCCTTGGGCTGGAGCGATAGCACAGCAGGTAGGGCGTTTGCCTTGCACCCCGCCGATCTGGTTTCGATTCCCAGCATCCCATATGGTCCCCCCCAGCACCTCCAGCAGTAAGTCCTGAGTGTGTGAGCCAGGAATAACCCCTGTGCATTGCTGGGTGTGAACCCCCCCCCAAAAAAAAAGGGCCTCCCTGCTGGGCGGATGGCTAAGGGACCTTTGTGGAGCTGGGCTGGTCCAGGGTGAGGCCCAGGGAGAATTGTATGGAGTATACTGGGTCTGGGGATGTGGGGGGCAGAGGCAGAAGAGCCCCCGCTTAGTTTTGGGCCGAGCCAGCTGATGGGTCCAAGCAGTCCCCTTCCCCGGGGACTCTGAGGGCCACCCTTTGTGAGGGACGCCGAGGGCCTTTGCAGGCCCTGAGCTGTGTTCCCCGGGTGCTGCAGGTGGTTCAGTGGAAAGGGCTTCAAGAGCTCGGATTGGCTGCCAGACACTCGCCGGCTTTAGCAGCCTCGGGTCCCAGGAGAGGATCTGCACTCAAGACCCCAGGTGACCCGCGGTTTGTTCCCCACAGGTCGTCTTCCAGAACTGAGTTCTGAGCCGCGCAGGCCGGCGCTGCTGTGATCCCCGGCCACTGGACAGGTGAGCAGGCAGAACCCACGTGCCCTCCCACCCCCCCAGACCCCCATCTCCTGCCCCCTGGGTGTGGGTTACAGGGGCCCGAGATGGAGAACAGGTTCTCTGAGGATAGATAACACCCCCACCCCCACCCCTGTAGTGTTACTTCCTATGCTGAGGGCCTCCAGGACCGGTGGGGGACCCTTGACAGACCCTCACTCAGGCTCCGCGTCATCGCCTGGTCTGTCTCCCGCCCCACCCTGGGTAAGAACTGAAGAAGGCTGAAAACTAGCTTGGGGACTCAGATTATTTAGACCCCTTCCTTGAGCCCGCTGCCTCTCATTCATGCCTCCCAACTGCTTGGCTCTTCCTCCTCCATCCCTCCAGCCTATCAATAGGTTCCAATAGGTTCGTGGGTCCCTCATTCGCCTGCAATTATTTTTTTTCTTACTTTGATTACATTCATTATTTCGACAAAAGATGCACCATTATTGTTTAGAGTTTACACCCAACAATCAGAACTGCCAATAAGGCATTGTGAAATAATTTGTTTTCTACAATTGGTTATGAGCACCATATGAAGGACGAGCCAGGAACGCCCCCCTTCCCATGAGGTTGCAGTTTTCCTGTCACTGCCGGCTAGTACCTGGCTTTCCAAAAGGCTCTGAGGCGGCCGCCATCTTGCTGCCCAGAGGGAAAAAGGCAGAAGGGAGCGACACCCCTTCCCTCCCGGGGAGGCATGGTACCATGGATTAATGCATAGTCCATTCACTTTTCTGCTGCAAGCTGCCGGGCTCTGCATTAAGTCCTTGTGCCTCTGGAGCCATGGCCATGCCGGAGAGCCACTCTCATGGGGGGCAACTCGTGACCTCGGTAGGGCGTGAAGGACGAGCCGGGTCACCTGCTATTCTGTCCATTCATTTCTCCACCCATCCATCACTCACCCAGCCATTATCACCGCCCTTCTACCACCCACTTCTCCCTGCTCTCATCCTCCATCGCTCCCTCTACCTATCCCTCAACCACCCAGCACTCCATCCATTTTTCCATCCCTCATTACCATCTTCTGTCCACCTGACCCTCCCTCCTCCCACCTCTCCATCTACCACCCATCTTCCCCTCACCTGCCTGGCACTCCGTCCATCCATTCCTTCATCAGGCCATCACCCCGCACCCCTCCATCTGTCCCTCTGTCTGAGACCCATCCATCCCTTGTCACTCATCCTGCTCTTCCCCCATGCCTCCATCCAGCCCCTCCATCACTCACCCATCCCTCCTCATCCACCCGGTGCTCCATCCATTCTCCACCTATCCCCCCATGCACTCCTTGATCCATCTCCCCACTCACCCACCCACCCACCCACCCAGCCAGGTTCCCATCCTTCATCTACTCCCCTGCCCTTGCACCCATCTACCCACCCCTCCTTCCATCTGTCCATCTATCCTTTTTTTTTTTAATTTTTATTAGTGAGACACCATGAGGTACAGTTGTAGATTTACAAATTTTTGTGCTTGGGTTTCAATTATACAATCATCAATTATCCATCCCTCCACCAGTGCCCATTTCCCACCACCACGGATCCCAGTATCCCTCCCACCCTCCCATCCTCCCCATCCCACCCTGCCTCATCCTTCTTTCTGTCCACCTCTCCTCTCACCCATCCTCACAGCCTTCACCCCTCCACACAGCATCCATCCGATCATGTATTCAGCGACATTTGCAGGGAGACTAGTTGATTTTCCTAAAGGTCAGTCTTCCCTCACTGCATCCCAGCCCACTGTGGAGGTGAAAAGGTCCCTTGGCTGTACAGCTTCATGAGTTCTAAGTAACCTCTACTCACCGAAAGTCTGCCACGTGCCACATTCTCTGAATCCTTCTCTGAGCATCACTGCCCATTAGGTTTTAGTTTCCTCTTTACACCCGTGAGTAAGGTGAGGCTCAGAGAGGTCTAGTCACTTCTCCAAGGTCACCCGGCTAGGAGGTAACAGAGCTACATCCAGGCCTGTTCTGGGAGCTGCCCCAGAATCCAGCAGCATGGGAGAGGAGGGTGGGAAAGGAGTTCCTTTGTCAACATGTGTGCTGGCAGGCTGGGTTTGGCAGGGGTGGCGGTGATCCAGGAGCTGCCAGAGTCTCTCTGCCTTGGACGTTGTGATCTAGAGACACATGCTGAAGAAGGCATAGGCACAAGTAAACTCATACCATGGTGGTTTCATCTACAAACTTCCTTGGTATAGAATGCAAGTGCCGGGGCCAGAGCAAAAGTACAGTGGTGAGGATGTTTGCCGTGCACAAAGCCAACCTGGGCTCAATCCCCAGCATCCCATATGGTCCCCTGAGCCCCGCCAGGAGTTAATTCCTGAGTGCAGAGCCAGAAGTAATCCCTGAGCATCCTTGGGTGTGGACCCAAAATGGAAAAACAAAACAAAACAAAACAAAAAACAAAAAAGCAAACGTTCCGCCCATCTAAATTGTAGCTGCTTAGAAATGGTCCATTTACCTGCTGAAAAGCAGCATCTAGGGTCAGCGCCTTTTTCCTTCTGCTTGGCCCACTCTCCCTGACCACTCAGGACTAAGATGTGCTTCTTCTCTCATTCCCTTGTTTTCCCTGGCAATTAACACGCAAACCCTCCGGTGCTTAGGGAAAGTGTTTCCAAGAAAGCAGAGCCCTGGGAGACAGTCTCTTTGCTCCCTTTCTTTCTGTCGGTGAAGGGCTCACCCTGGCTCCATCCACCTCCTAAGCTAATGGGACACTCGTGACAAAGATCCTCACCCCAACTGAGGGCAGTGCTGGGTGTGCCAGCCTCGCTGTTTCTTTTGAATGGTGGGTGGGCTCGGTAGGGAGCCCCACTCCATGGGGAAGGAGGGCAAGACCCTTCTCTGTAGCCGGGCGTCAGCAAGCAGCATCTGAACTCCTGCCCCTAGGGCCTGGGGTGTCTTTCCCAGAGTCTCAGCTGGGAGAGGGCCTTAGTCTTGCTGCCTCTGGTACACTTTTCCTCTGGGGGCTACACCTGGCAGTACTCGGGAACTACTCTCGGGGACTACTCTCAGGTCAGTGCTCAGTCAGCAGGGGGAACCACGCAGTGCTGGGAATAAAACCCAGATCTCCTGGACTACCAAGCGTGAATCACCTCCTAGCCCCCTTGTTGTCTGACAGACCGTTTGATCCCTGCGCCAGGGACTGACTGGCCAGCATTTCCATTCAGAGAGACGGCTCAAAGGGCTGCAGCATATGCAAGCATGCTCAGGGCCCTGAGTTTGACCCCTGGCATTACATGGCCATTCAGGCACCTCCAAGGTGGCCCAGATGTCCCCCACCTCAGCCCCTAACACCACCGAGTCGGAGCACTAAATTGTACTTAGGGTCCCAGCAGCCAGACTGGGTAGCACCGGGAGTGGCGGCTGGACCCCCAAGTAACACTTGGAAGCACCCCTACCCCCAACAACAACAAAAGGGTCAGGTAGGGAATGATTTAAACTTTGTGAGCCAAGCCTCTGTGACAGCGGGGCCACTGTGTGGCGTTGGAAAAGAACCACAGGCAATACCTAAGCCAGTTGGCATGTCCCTGGGCCAAGGAACTTCATGGGCGCTGAGATGGGAATTTCATGTGCTACAAAATATTCTCCTCTTAAACTTGTAACTTAGTCACCCCAGGGAACCTGGCTGTGTTCTCTCCCCACCCCTCGTGGAATTGCTCATCTTCTGCTGAGCATGGAGAATGTTGCTCAGCTCCTGGGTCTGTCAGCGGGAGGAAAACGTTCTCCCAGATCTGGGCCAACGTGGCCTGGATCTGCCCATCCCCAGATGCAGCATTTCAGCACCCTCTCCTCACTCTCTGATTGGTCCGTGCCCCTCGCCTCGGGTTCTGATTGGCCCACCTCAAGAGCCACTGCTTAGCTCTCCTCGAGCTCTGATTGGTCCGCCCAGGTGCAGCGGCTCAGCACCCTCCTCACTCTCTGATTGGTCCATCCCACAGCTTCTCCCTCTCCTCCCGCTCTGATTGGTCTACCCCGCAGCTTCTCAGCATCCTCTCCACCTGTTCGGAATGGTCGGTCCAGGCTCCTCTCCACCTGTTCGGAATGGTCAGTCCAGGCTCCGCACCCATTCAGCACCCATTCTGATTGGCAAGGCCAGCCTATTAGTCATAGGGTGCCTGCTCACTGACTCCCTGAGCCCGTCCTGCTGCCTCCTGGGGAGAATGGGGTAGCCAATGTCCGCGTCCGAGTACTGAGACCCGTGGCAAGCCGCCTTCCGCCCCTAGCGTATGGAATTATCTCCTGGGGCAATCAGCGTGAGCGTCTGGTGGCCCCAGGTCTGGGAATACCTGCCCAACAGCGTCGGACTCCTTAACCTGCGAAACCAGAGCCCCTGAGAACCTCGTACACTTACCCTCAAATTGGCCACCTGGATGCCAGTCCCTCGCCCCTCAAATCCCTTCACAACAGCTTAGCGCGCCTCACCTCCGTGCTGGTGGTGAGGATTCGCAGCGACTGGGAGCCTTTAGCGAGGTCTCAGCAGACCCAATATTTATTCTTATCTAAAAAGTGCCCTTTGCTGACTGCTTCCAACCCACGAAGCTACAGGAATCCCAGCTGGGCCAAGCTTCCAGGAGCTCAGAAAGTGTGGAAATCCCTTTCCTGGACTTTCTAGAAAGGAACGCGGGCAGGCTCGGTTTGAGCAATTTCCAAAGCCCCATTTCCACACTTCTCCAATTTCGCAAGAGCCAGCAGCGCGCACCCTCCAACCCCCAGCTCCTGAAGGCCGGGAATGTTGGATACAGTGTGGGGAAGTTCTGGGGGGAAATGAGGGCTGACCCAGGCAGGCCTCCGCACAGCAGGGCCAGGGGAGGAGGAAAAGCAGTCACCCCGGGGGCTGGGGGAAATGGCTCAAAGGGCTGGAACACATGCTTTGCACGCAGGAGGCCCGGGTGCCGTCTCTGCTCCCCAGAGCACGGCCTGGCATTCACCAAAAAAAAGAAAGAAAGAAAGAAAGAAAGAAAGAAAGAAAGAAAGAAAGAAAATGAAAGAAAATGACCCAGGTTCTAGTATAGTGGGAACCCCACCCTTCCCTCTCTGGCTGTCTCCTTCCATGCTGAATTTCCAAACCTTGTGGTCTGTCCAGCTGGCACAGGAAGGGGAGGCAGACCAGATTCCACCTCCCCCCCAACACACACACACACACACACACACACACACACACACACACACATTTTATGGAACACGGCCCAGCATGGCCAAGCAGGCCTTCGAGGCAGTCCTGGGGTCAGGGGCTGGGGCTGGTGGTGGCTCAGATCTTTGGATCTCCTGGTGCCCCGCAGCCCTGTACTCCCCCCAACTCTGGGTCACAGGGGAACATGCACGCTGCACATTCCCAGCCCCAGGCTGGGTACCTGATAGGCTGGAAGAGCCAGGTCAGCTTCGGCTCCCTGCCCTGCAGCCTGGGCTTGTGTGCCGCTCACGCTGGGGAGCTCACTACCTCACGGGCAGCACCATCCGTCCTTTACACAACTTGACATTATGGGGTCTCCATTCCCCACCTAGCCAGCAAGCTGACATTAACTTTCTCTAACCCAAAGGGCCCATGGCTGAACTGGCTGTACCTCAGGGGAGATAGTGAGGTGCTACCTTCTGCAGCCTGTTCCCCAGGATCCAGAGGAGGCCAAGCTGCTCTGTGGCAGGGTGCTAGGAGACAGCTATGCCTGGAGGAGTGGGAGGGAACTCCTTCGGGCCAGACCTCACGCCTGCCTTGAGCCCCGCAGGGAGGAGGGAAGCGGGGTGAAGTCCGTGCCTGGGGCCCTCGGTTCCCTCTGCTCCTCCCCTCCCCCTCCATGGAGCACTGGGAACCGGGCCCAGAGCTGCTTCCCCACCCCCAGCCCGGCACGGTCTGTGTCCCTGCAGCTGTCCCAGGCCAGCTGCCCTGGCCCCAGCTGCCCTGCTGGCTCCCCAGGGCCCCAGGGAAGCCTAAAGCTGCTCATTGTCATTCCTGGGTGGTATGACACAGGGAGGGGTGAGAGGGCCAGCGCCCCCCACTCTCCTCCCCAGAGCCCTGCCCTGTGGTCAGGAGGGGACCAGCAGGGTTTGTATGTGTGTGGGGGGGAGTGGGGGGGGTGAGGCTCCGAAACCCCCATGTCACCAGGGTGACTGACCCAGGGGAAATGCTCCTGTATCAGAATCCTCGAATGCTGGTGAAATGCCTCATGGGATATTTCCAGCTGAGTTGGGAATGTGAGCCCCTGAGTAGGTGGGGGTGATGCCTGAAGGGGCTCCACAGAGGCATGGATTTGCAAAAGGATCCCTATACTTAAGATTCCTGGGGGATTAGACTCTGCCCACCTGTCCACAAAGTCCTCCTCCTCACCATGGCTCCTGTGTTCCGTGTGCACCGCGAGGTGTTGGTGAGGAGTGGGTTGCTAAGCCCTAGGGCAGCTGAATCTGTCTACTTGAGGCCACGTGGCGCATGCACGTGCGTGCACACACACACACACACACACACACACACACACACACATACACACAGAAGCAGAACAGTGCACGGAATGAGTTTTTTTCTCTCTGGAGTGAGGGCAAGCGTGCATTTCTGCCGTGTATGCATTCTTCTTTTTCTTTTTTACTTTTGTCTTGGGGGCTACACCCAGCACTGTACAAGGCTCTGTGCTCAGGCATCATTCCTAGCAGTGCTCAGGGAATCATATGGAATGCCGGGGATCGAACTACGCATAAGGCAAGCACTGTACCCATTGTACCATCACTCTGGCTCATAACGTGTGCCCATTTGGTCTGGTTGTCCTGGAGGGCACCCTCATCCCTCATTGCCCTAGGAGGTAGGGGGAGCCCTGGGCCACCTTTTGGGGGAAGCCCTGGGCCTCTGCCTTCCCAAGCCCCATGTCCCCAGGAGCCTGACTACTATGGGAGGCTCTGCAGGGCAGCAGCAGAAGTCAAGGGCTCATCTTGGGGTCTCCAGGGCTTGCTTACTGCCCTCCACCAGGGGCCATCCGGATGATTTCTAGAGCTTGAGGGTGGGGCCTGTGGTTTCTCTTAGGGTCCACTAGACCCCCGGGGCCAAGCCTCACTGGGTGGGCCTCAGGGTGCTGCAGAATGGGACTCAGCACCTGCCTGGTGAGTTTGGGAGGATAAGCTGGGGTGGACTGGGGCCAGAGGGTCCCCGTCCCCAGGCCCTCTACACTGACCTGCGTGCCCTTTCTCCTCCACACCCTTTCAGCCCTCAGGGAGCTCCCGGACCAGCAGGATGGGCTCAGCCTGCCTGAAAGTCACCAAGTACTTCCTCTTCCTCTTCAACCTGCTCTTCTTCGTAAGTACCACCCTAGAGACCCTCTCCCCAGACTGCAGGCCTGGGGAAGCAGGCAAGGAGGAGTGGGACAGACTGTCCAGGGATGGGGCATGGAGGGAGGAGAGCCCTGACCCCTGCTGGCTCTTTGGGGGGTGGAGTGGGGGCCCAGGTCTGGCTCATGATACACTGAGGCATGGCCTGGGCAGGGCTGGAAGGAGGCTGGGAGGCCGGGCAGGGCACTTGCCTTGCACTGGGCCAGCCTAGGTTTGATCCCCAGCACCCCCATAAGATCCCCCGAACCCTGCCAGGAGTGAAGCCGGAGTGCAAGCAGGAGTAAGCGCTGAGTACCGCTGGGTGTGGCCTGAAAATAATAAAACAATTTGCCTGAGAGCCAGAAGGAGTGCAAAGGGCTGAGCACATGCTTTGCGGGCCCCTGGCACCACCTGGTTCCCTGAGCACAGAGCCAGGAGCCACCCCTGAGCACTGCTGGCTGTGATTCCTTCAAACACACAAAAGTTTCCTGAAACTCTTCCTATTGATCTGGGTGATGGCGTTTCTGGTGTCCCCTCACCCCCGAAACAGGGTCCTTGGGCTTTACTCAGACCCTGGCTCTGCTCTCGGTCAGAGTGAGTGGACAGGAGGGACCAAGTCCTCCCCAGGCTGGTTTCATCAGCATTGGTCAAGGCTGGGTGATGGAGGAGCAGGCAGTCGGGGCTGGAGATAAAGACACTCAGGGGAGGTAATCCCCCAGGTGGGTCCATGCCAGGCGAGGAGATATGGAGCTCCCCCACCTCGAGGGATACCTCTCTTTGTGCCCACGCTGCAGCTGTATCTGCAGGCTGAACTGGCCAGGGCCATGGTAGATTCTGGTTCCTGCAGGGTGAAGGGAAGGGGGGGTCCTGGGACCCTCCAACCTACTCCTGCCTCTGCCATGGGCCATGGTGTCAGCAGGGCTGGATGGACCTCCACAGGGGTTCCGAGCTATGCTTCCTGGTACTGCCCACAAGGGAGCCCACCCTCTAGCTGGACACTGGCAGGGACACCAGCAGGGACGGGCCTTCAAGACAGGGCTTGGAGCTTTGGTGACAGGGCCCTGGATCATCAGGCAGTGGCGGTGACTCTGCCACACAGGGAGAGATATGAGGGAGCTTCTGGGGCTGGGGGAGATAGTACAGAGGTGATGGGCTGACCCTGGTTCAAATCCCTGGCACCCTGTATGGTCCCCTGAGCACCACGTCAGAGCATAGAGTCAGGAGTAAGCCCTGAGCACCGCCAGGTGTGGCCTCCAAAACAAAACCAAAACCAAGAAAGGGAAAAAGGAGGAAAGGGGCTCACGGAGGGGGGGGGGGGGCTGGCATGGAGCAGGAGCCCCTTAGTCTGAGTGGGAGGGTCAGAAAGGTTCCTGCAGGAGATGGTCTTGGAGACCATCTGAAAGTGAAGAGCACCGTGGGGCTCCCCTTAGTAAGCATGTGTGTGTGTTGGGGAGGGGGGCACATGATGGGAAGGGTGAGGAGTAGCATGGGGGGTGTGGGGACATCCCTGCAGCCTGCTGGCTCTTGGGACCCCTTCCCGCCCTTCCCCCTGTAAAGCGCAACACACACACACACACACACACACACACACACACACACACACTTCTGATTCTTGTATGGATCATGGGGTTTGCTGTGTTGGGACTGCAGTTTGGGCTGGGTAGCCCCTTCATCCCCATCTGCTTTCAAGGGGAACCCCCCACCCCCGCACCCCCCCCAGCTGTAATCTGTCCCCTTTCTCCTTCCAGATCCTGGGCGCCGTGATTTTGGGCTTCGGGGTATGGATCCTGGCCGACAAGAGCAGCTTCATCTCTGTCCTCCGTAAGGACCTTTCCACCTACCCCTGCCCATACCGTGCCCCGGTGAGCTGGCCGGTCCCACGACGCCCGGGCCCAGGGCCTGCCTGGTGCCACCTGGGTGCCTCATCGGGGCTTCCTGGGAGGGAGCGCCTCTCGCCCTGCACACAAAGCGGCCCTTGTCTGGAGGCCGCCGTGGGGCGCAGAGGCTGCTTCTCCCAGGCCAGCGCCTTCCCGTGGGGGCCCTGACCTTGAGGACGCCGCGCCCAGGCTCTGGCCCTGCCAGTTCAGCACAGCCGTGGGCACGGGCCACACCCCTGCAGGGGAGGAGGGCGGCAGGCCGGGCAGGCCAGGGGCCCCACGTGCCTGGCCTGCTCGCCTCCAGCTCCATGGGCGGGGCTTGCGCGCCTGGGGGCGGGGCGGGGGCGGGGCTGGCCAGCACGCGAACCAATGAGGGCCGCCTGGGCTCAGCTTCCGGCATTCCTGCTCTGGGCTGGGACCTGCGGCAGGTGCGGATGGTCCGCACCGGTTCCCACATCAGCCCCCTGAGCCCTGCCGTGTAGTCCCACCACGCCAGTGGGGGAATTGAGGCTCAGGCTTGCATGTCTTCTCTGTGGCAAGCTGGGTCTCCAGGGGAGAGCTTTGTTCCTCCGTGCGACGCAGGGCAGGTGGAAGAGCCACACAGCTGGGGGTTGGGGGCACTAAAACTCATCAGAAGCAGGAGGGAAAGGAGCCCAAGGCCCTGCTGCAGCACCAAGATAAGAGCCTTGATGATAAGGGACCTTGTGGGCTGTTGACATCTCCTCTAGGAAGCCCGTCAGGCTTGCTCCCAGCCTGACCTCTGTGTCTACTCTGAGGCGGGTGAGAGGTGGGGGTGGGGGGGCGCCAGTCCCACGTGGCTGACCCTCCTGGCAGTGTGTGCGCCCTTGGCTCACTTCCCTCCCAGCAGCTGTCCCAGCAGCGGGCTTGGACTGGGCCCCTTCACAGCTGCTGCAGTGGAATCCACGGGGGCCAGGCCTCTCAGAGTGACAGAGAAGCACACCTGTCGCCACAGTCCCTGGGATGGGGAAGTGTTCCCGCGGAACAAGAGGGCACGCAAGGGAATTTTCCCTACAGAGTGTCTGTCCTGCTCCCCCCCCAGCTGTAATCTGTCCCCTTTCTCCTTCCAGATCCTGGGCTGGGGGCGGGACAGCAGACTGCACCCCATCCTGGGCCCTGACTAGGTCCAGTCTCCCTCGCACCCCTGCTCCTTGGCCTCTCGAGACTCACACACACCAGGCACTGTCGCTCCAGGACCCTGCCCTCAGCCTCAGGGATCTTCCCAGTTCAGGTCGAGAGCCTCCAGCTTGCCCAGACCCCCCCCCCCCCCAAAGCCCAGGGAAGCTTCTGTACAAGAGTACCTGAGGGGGATGGGGGAGCTGTCCCCTCACCCACCCAGGGGTCCGACCCCAGGGTCAGGTCGGAATAAAACTTTTCCCAAAAGTTGCTCAGAGAGTGCCCCAGGCAGCCAGGACCAGATCCACCAGCTATAAGTCCTGCCACCGTGCATTTGGGTAAACAGAGGCTCAGAGAGGGGATGGGGCTTAAAGAGACTTCTAGATCGAGTGAGGGTCTGTGCTGGGCCAGGGGACACTGAGTTCCCGGGGGGGGGGGGGTGGCTCTTCCCTCTACTGATCAGACCCTCTCTGCATCCATCTGTCTTTATCGGGATGGAGCCCGGCCATCCCTGTTGCTGGAATAAAGCAGCATGGGTAAGCGCCTCTCCCCCGGAGACCCAGCTTGCCACAGCGAAGACATGTAAGCCTGAGCCTCAACTCCCCCACTGTACACAGCAGGACCTGGGGTGTGAGTGGAGGGCTCTGAGTCCCCCTCCCCGTGTCCCCAGACTGCAGTGTTCCACACACATGGCTGTGGGGCTCAGAGTGAAGATCTGGGCCAGGCTGCCCGGGCTCTGCTCCCTGCCTGCCGCCTGCTTGGGTTTCTCCCCTTCTCCAGGCCGCTCCCCTGCCCCGGGAGGATGATAACCATTAGAGCCTGGCTTCTCGAGGCTGTTGTGAAAGAAATTAGGTAGGAGTCCAAGGCAGGCGTGGCGCAGAGGAAGTGCGCAAGTGACTGTGGAAGAGTCTGATGTTAGTGGCTGGCATCTTTGAGGAGTACCAGCTAGTTCTCTTTGTCAGAAACAGAAAACGGGATGGGCTGGAGCATTAGCCCAGCTGGTAGGGCATTTGCCTTGCACGCGGCTGACCCGGGTTCGATTCCCAGCATCCCGTTGGGTCCCCCGAGCACCACCAGGAGTAATTCCTGAGTGCATGAGCCAGGAGTAACCCCTGTGCATCACTGGGTGTGACCCAAAAAGCAAAACACAAACAAACAAACAGAAAACGGGCCAGCCCAGGGATATGGCCCGTGAGCTGCAGCCCTGCCATGCTAGCACCATGTGGCCCAGAAAGTTCTAGAAGGTGTCCCTGCCATGCCCCCTTCCTTTGCCAGGCTGCTGGGAGCTGGGATGGGCCTGGGACCTGGGGTGGGGACAGGGCTGCTGATAGAGGAGGAGGAGGAGGAGGCCTCCTAGATCCGGGGAGTCTCCTGCTGGGCCTTGTTGTCAAGGCCTTGTTGTCAAGGCCTTGTTGGCCTTGCTAGCTTATTCTCTTGGGCTTCAGCACAATGCGTCAGGAGCTGGTGGTATAAATCCCGAGAGGTCCACCCTTGGACAGCCTGCAGCTCGGTTCTCCGAGGGCCAAGCCCTTCTCCCAGGAATTAGTTGCCCGGGTACATGAGGGAACCCCAACCTGGGCAGTCAGGGAAAAGTGAGCCCTGAAGCCCCATGGGGTGGGGGGGCGGAAATAGCAGGAATGCTCTCCACCCCACCCTCGCACCCCTCCCTCTGCCTGGGTCCCTGGGGGCCCCAGAAGAGCTGGGAGCAGCACACAACCCCGGAGAGTAGGATGGCTGGTCCCTCCCCAGCTCCTGAGCATTCTGAGACCAGGCAGTGAAGGGGCCCGCTGGCCTCCTGCCCACCTACCCCCCTCCCCCCCGTCCTCCCCCCCACCCCACCCCCTGCGCCCGCTTCGAGGTTTCTGTCTGCTGGGGGGCAAGGTGGAAGACCCCACCCCGCCCCACCCCCAATGCAGGCTGCACATTGACCAAACCGCATGAGTAGGGTGACCCGCTTGCGCCCAGGCCACGGCCCCTGTAGAATCCAGTACTGTCCAGTTTCCGAATCCCAGCCTGCCCCTCTCCAGGGCCCCTCTCTGGGCCTCAGTTTCCCCCGCCCCTTTCCCAGCACGCATGCTCAAGGGCACGGCAGTGATGCGTGGAGAAGCCGGTCCACAGGCGGAGCGAGGGGAACAGCCGGGGAAGGAAAGCAGAAGGAGCGGGGGTCCTGGGGGGGTGGGTGTGAGGGGCTGCCGGCCACGCCTCCTTTCCGTATCCCTCCCCCCGCAGAGGCCTCCTCCAGCTCGCTCAATGTGGGCGCCTACATCTTCATCGGCGTGGGCGCCGTCACCATGGTCATGGGCTTCCTGGGCTGCATCGGTGCCGTCAACGAGGTCCGCTGCCTGCTGGGACTGGTGAGTGCGGCCACTCGGGCGCGCGCCCGGGACTGGGGGTGGCTCCCGGTGGGCGACCCCGGCTCACTCTGCTCTTGTCCACAGTACTTCGCCTTCCTCCTGCTGATCCTCATCGCCCAGGTGGCTGCGGGGGCCCTGTTCTACTTCAACATGGGTCAGGTAAGCAGCCACCACCCCCCACCCCCCACCCCCTGTGCCTGGTGGGGCCCCCCACTGCCCCATCCCACCGTTTGGGTTAGAGGAGAAAACAGCATCTCTGTGTGGGTGGGGCTGAGGGCTGGTGCAGGACCAGCATCCACTCTAGTCCGCCTCTTTCTAACTGGCCCTGGGCTTACTTCTCTGCCTGGTTCCCCATCTGTGATCATGGATATAATTCAGGATTGTCTCCAAGGAGTCAGCGAAATCACCTTAGTAAAAACAGTACTGGAGCCAGGGAGATTGGGCAAAGGGCTGGAGTGCAGAGCGAAGCCCTGAGTTCCACACCCCACCCCCAAGCACCATAGGCAACCTTGCCCCTAGGCATTGCACCCTCTGGCCCAACTGGCCAGGTATGTCCCCAGTGGCCCCAGATCCCCCTGAACATTGCTTGGTAGTCCCCTTTCCCCCAATTAAAAAAAAAAACACAGTGGTTGTGCTAGGTTGGTAAAGATCCAATAAATGCTTGCTGTTCTTACTCATATTAAAGCACCTTTCTAAGTTATAAATACAAGCCAGGCAGGTACCCATGAAGGAAAGTCCAAGGATGCAGAAAAAAAAGGGGGGGGGGACTGGAGCGATAGCACAGTGGGTTGGGCGTTTGCCTTGCACGCGGCTGACTCAGGTTCAATTCCCAGCATCTCATATGGTCCCCTGAGCACCACCAGGAGTAATTTCTGAGTGCAGAGCCAGGAGTAACCCCTGTGCATCACCAGGTGTGACCCAAAAAGCAAAAAAAGAAAAATAAATAAAAAACCAAAACCCAACGTTTATCCTGAGTCAGAAGATAGGTGCAGAAAACCCAGAGTCTCGTGGCTCAGACTCTAAGGAGGCCATTGTTGATGTTAGCAGAAGTTGGGGCTGGAAGCCCGAGACCCCGGTTCTGGCTAGCTGTGTAGCCCCTCTTTACTGGGACACATCTCTTCCATTCCACTCACCTCTTGGGCACAAAGTGGCTGCCACTGAATCGGGGGACCATATGGGGTGCTGGGGATCGAAACTTAGTCAGCCACATGCGAGGCAAGTGCCCTACCTGCTGTACTGTTGCTCTGCCCCCGGGGCCTGGCTTTTATCTATGGCATATACTGTACTAATGATGGGGGTCCCACAGAAGCCCCTTGTGTCACAGGGTAGTTGTGAGACCAGACCCCACACTGATCCCCATACCAGCACCGGGTTCGTCTGTGCTCCTGGGGACGGGAGACAGAGAAAGAGGCGGTGCCAGTCCCTGTTGCCTGCCCCTTTGATGAGAAAAACAGCTCCTTCCTCCCTCATCCCTAGACAAGGTCATAGAGGTGGTCCCAACTTCAAGGGGGACTGAGAGAGTGAGGAACCCCCACTCTTAGGAGCACAGAGAGGTGGGCAAGCCAGTCCCTCGTGCCCTCCTTGGAAGCACTTTTGAAAGGGCACCCAGATGTGGCACCTCCGAGCAGCTTACCCCCACTAAACTCTGCACCCAGGCAGCCTGACTCCTGGGTCATGCTGGGGAAATCGTGATCCTTGTGGTTTCCTACCCGAATGTGCTTTATCGACTTTTACTCCACACACTGCCTGTTTGCCAGGAGGACTGGGCAGGAATTGTAGGGCGAAGAATCAGCAGGCACATGTGGAGAGACGAAGGCCATTGTCCCCCAAAGCCAGGGCACAAGATGCCCATAGCTGCCAGCCTCTGACATAGCAACAAGCGTCCTGGCAGCCAGGGCAAAAAGGAGAAATGGTGGAAGGGAGGAGCTTGCTGGGAAGTCTGACCGGAAGCTGGGATTTGGGGGTGTGAAACTCCCTTCCCAGGGTTGGAGGGGGTCTGCTCTCACCCTGTGATACAAGGGGCTTCTGTGGGACCCCCTCATTAGTACAGTATGTGCTGTGGATAAAAACCAGGCCCCAGGGGGCAGAGTGATGGTACGGCAGGTAGGGCACCTGTATTGCATGTGGCTGAGAAAGGTTTGATCCCCAACTTCCATGTGGTCCCCCCATATGCCCCCTACCCCCATATGATCCCTGAGCAAAGAGCCAGGAGTAAGCCCTGAGCACCCTGGGTGTGACCCCAAAACAAGCCCCCAAAGCAAAAACAAACAAAAAAGGCCCCAGGGGGAGGAACCCATGACTCTAGGGTCTCAGCACCCACCTCTTCACCCCTGCATATGCCTCCATCTCCATAATGAAATGGGGGATCCGTGTCCTGGATCGTGGGCTCATAACTTGACCTCCAGACCTTCAGGCAAGACCTGCAAGACCTCCCAGACCTGCAAGCATTTCCCAGTTTTGTTATTTTTTTTTGGCCACACTCAGCAATGCTCAGGGGCCTCTGCACCCAGGAATCACCCCTGGTAGCCACTGGGGAGGTGGGGGAGGGGACCTATTGGTTGCCAGGGATTAAACCCATGTCAGCTACATGCAAGGCAAAATATCTACTATGCTCACTCTCAGCAACCCTCCCCCCATTTCCCAATTTGAAAAACAAATTGAGGGAGTCCAAAATGCTAGGCTCTTTTTTTGGTTTTTTTGCTCTTTGGGTCACACCCAGCGATGCACAGGGGTTGTTACTCCTGGCTCTGCACTCAGGAATCACTCCTGGCAGTGCTCGGGGGACCATATGGGATGCTGGGAATCGAATCTGGGTCAGGCGCGTGCAAGGCAAACGCCCTACCTACTGTGCTATCGCTCCAGCCCAAGGATAGGCTCTTGCCTTGCCTTTGCCAGCCAGACTTTAGTCCCTGCATCACCCACGGTTCCTCCAGCCCTCCAGAAGTGATCTTAAGTTCAGAGCTAGGAGTAAGCCTTGAACACAACAGCCAGCTATGACCAAAAAAAAGGGTCCCAGTAATATAGGGTGACAGGCCAGAGTCACAGCCCAGACTGAGGTCTCTAGTCCCAGGCTCCTTCCCCTCTCATGATCCCCCCAGATCTCCCCAGGAGACCTTTATCTGGAGCTCCTTTTTGGAAATCTCCCCCCTGACCCCCCCCCACACACACACACACAACCCCCAGGGCAATTCTCCTGACCCTGTTCCCCTTCTTTTCACCTGCCCCTCCCCAGAGCCCCACACCTGCCCCCCCCCCCCCCACCCTCCTCCTTTTCTGAAAGGCAGGGGAAATTTCCTGGCCCTGCCGGGGAAGCTCTGGCGCCACTCAATGGCCCGTGTTGGGACAGAGAATTTATTTCTTCTTTCCCAGCACATTGTAAATGCCCAAGGCAGACTAAACATCCCCTCCTCGATGTTTATTCCTGCGTGGGGGGGGGGGGGCGCCCAGCCCCGGCCAGGGAACTTGTCTGAGCCTGAAGCGAAAGGGCCCTTTGCAAAGGGAGGCCTGACAAGGGCCTGTCCCCACGGTCCTTCATTCCCTGAGCTGTACTTTGAGAGGGCTCCCTCCTGCTCTAGGCCCCAACAGCCACTGTACATTTAGAAGAACAAGGACACCCTGCATCAGCCCCCCAGGGGCCTCAGGAATGGGCATGGCCACATTTTTTATGTTTGGGGGGGCCACACCCAGTTCTGCTGGGCTCCCAGTTGGATGCTCTGGGGTAGCTCTCTGCAATGCTTAGGGCATCATGTGGTACTGAGGACCAGACCCGGGGCCCCCACCTGGGAAGCCCATGCCCAGCCCTCTCAGCCCCAGATGGCACACTTTGTGTTTTATTTTGGGGGCCACACCAGGCTGTGCTCAGGGCTTATTCCTGGCTCTGTCCTCAGGGGTCACTCCTGGCTTGGCTCAGGGGGACATATGGGTACAGGGAACTGAATGTGGGTTGGCTGCATGCGAGGCAAGTGCCCGACCTGCTGTACTTTCTCTCCGCTCTCCCTCCATGCACACTTTGATGAGATCTGTGGGTGGGCCGGGCCTCCGACACCTGATCCAAATCTCTCCACCCGCACTCCGCCAGAACCCTGTTCTGAGCCCCCTGGCACGTTAGCCAGCCCCCACTGCAGCCTCGGTCTCTTCTGTCCCAGAGGCTGGGATCACGTGGTTCCCCTGTCCTTTGCTGTGGTTCTGAAATCCCTCTGGCTAGGCCTCTGCAGCTTGTGTGGCAAATGGGATGCCGATGGGAGCAGGGGGCTCTCTGTGAACTGGGCTCAATCCGCTGAGATGCCCCTAGGAAGCAAGGATTGGGGAGGTTGGTGGGCTGCTACGGCCCCCAGACCCTCCTTTCCCGAGGCCCCCCCTGACAGCCTATGCTAATGGTCCCAGCTGTGTGGGCCAGGCCCCCAGCGTCCAGCCAAGCGCCAGTATTGGGAACTCCAACGTTTGCCTGTCAGGGCTTAGTTGGTTCAGGGTTGGTGTGACCTCATGCAGTGAGCGGGGCTTTGAGGTCCAGCTAAGGGCCTTGGGCTGTTTCTCAGCTGAATCTGGGCAGCCGGAGAGAGTGCCTGCTGTGGCCTGGGGCTCAGACTTTGCCAGTAGAGCTTGATCCAGCCTGTAGAAGGAACCCCACTGGCTGTGCCCCCAAGACAAAGCTGAGTTTGGAGGGTGCTGGGTCATGTCCAGGGTGTGTGCGGATGGCCTGAGAGCTTGGGGGTACACCAGGAGGGGGCGGGGGGGGTGGGGGTATGTCAGAGTAGTAACTGGCCAGGTTGCTGCATGTACCCCGTCTCCCGAGAGGCCCATGAGAAGGCCTGCTGTACCCCCCTCCCCGCCCCCCGTTTCTGCCTCAGAAGTCCGGGATAGCTGGTGTGTCCACGCCTGGGTGGCCAGGTCTGGGTGGTAAAACGGGTTTCTCCAGGCCCTGTGGGGTGGAAACTTCCAGATGCCTGGCCTGGCTTCACGCCCCAGGACTAGGAGACACAGCAGAACAGGACACAGAGAGGTGGCCTTTCTCTTCCCTTTTGTGGGGGGGGAATGCTGGGGGGTAGGGAATGAATGCGTTCAGCTGTGCTTCTGGAAAGATCGCAGAGAGCATTGGAGCATGTGCTCTTGCTGGCCGTGCTCTGAAGCCTCAGCAGCAGGGCCAGACCCCGCCTCCAGCGCCTGAGCCAGGTCCATCTCCAGAGCTTAAACTTGGCCCCGCCTCCATCCCTGAGCCAGAGCCGGGCCCCCAAGCCTATGCCTGGCCCCGCCCCCAGACTAAACCTGGCCCCGCCCCCAGCGCCCCAGGTTCCGCCCCCAGGGCCCCAGCCAAGCCCTGTTATTTGCCCATACTTGGCCCCGCCTCCAATCTGAACCTAGCCCCTCCTCCAGCACCTGGGCCAGTCTCCGCCCCCAGCCTAAGCCTGGTCCTGCTCCCAGCTCCCCAGCCTGGCCCCGCCCCCTGCTTAAACATGGCCCCACCCCCTGCCCAAACCTGGGCCTGCCCCCAGTTCCCCAGCCAGACTCTGTCCCCTACCTAAACCTGGCCCCGCCCCCAACCCCCAGCCAGGCCCCGCCCCCTGCCCAAACCTGGGCCTGTCCCCAGTTCCCCAGCCAGGCCCCGCCCCCTGCCTAAATCTGGCCCCGCCCCCAGTGCCCAGCCAGGCCCCGCCCCCTGCCTATACCTAGCCCCGCCTCCAGCACCTGAGCCTGGTCCTAACACTTGAACATGGCCTTGCCTCTAGATATTTCTGGGCTGGGTGGGAGTCTTGGCACAGTCTCCAGTCCTCCAGAACGCCCCCCACCCCAGAGCCTGGCTTCTGTGCACCTAAAAGCACCCCCAGTTCAGCAGGAGCCCACTAGCCACTTGTAGGGCTGGGGAGTGGGGTTACCCCTAAGAAAAGGGAATGCTGATTGGGAAGAAGGGGACTGAGAGCCAAAGGAAGCAGAGGCAGAGCCCGACCAAGACATCCCTGGGCGCCTCTGCCCGCCCGCCCTGCGCTTTCCGGGTTGCCAAGGCCGCCTCCCCGGGCTCATGACAAGGCCCCCGGGGGGGGGGGGGGGGGGGTGTTGCCATCCAGGCCCTGCCGCGTGCTCCTTGTACTTCGTCTGCAGCCCTCAGCCATGTTCGGGGCTGGGGCATGACGGCTATTTCTAGGGAGACTGGCCCCTCCCCATCACCTTCTCCTCTCAGGGTCCCTGGCCAGGGACACGCGGGCTGCAGGCCTTGGCAACCGCTCTGGCGCTCTGGGAGGAACAGAATCGGGTCTGTGGGCAGGGGCCGGGGAGGATGCGGATGCGGGAGGGGTTGCTCTCTCTGGGAGCCCCCTCCCTCCACAGTTTCCATGCCTCCCTCTGGCTTCTCCACCCCAGGGGTTACCTATGCATGGGGGGAGGGGCGGAGGGGGAGAGCTGAGCTTGTTTGGGACAGAGAGACCCAAGCTGCTGTGTGGCACAGTTGGTGCCGCGTGTGGCTTCTCCCACCCCCTGGAATCCACAGAGTCTGCAGGTACGAATGCCGAGGGAGCGGCAGGAAGTGAAAATCTGGGTTCTGGAATCAGTCCGAGCCTGGTCCCCAAACTCAGCCCTCTACTTACTGCGTGGGCTGTGTGCGCGCCGCCTGAGACAAGTTAATTAACCTCGGAGGGGCCTTGTTTTCCAATCTCTGCAGTGCAGGAATGAGGTGAATCCCTAGGTGGTCTCTGAGGGTTCCAATGAGATCATGCCTAGGTTACATGCAGACAGGGGGACCAACGGTCCCCACTGCCCTAGGAGGTACTAGCAGGAGAGCAGCAGATGTTCCATTTCGAGGATTGTGTTGTTTGTGCAGCGCTGGGTGTGTGTGTGTGTGTGTGTGTGTGTGTGTGTGTGTGTGTGTGTGTGCGCGTGTGCGCGTAAAGCCAGTGTTTATCCTGGTTGTATGTGGGGTGCTGGTTTCCTGGGTGAGGGCTGCAGGCCCCTGGGGAGGATGTGGCTTCCAGGAGCCCAGAAAGCCACTGCCTGTGGGGAACTGGCGGAAGCTCGCTGGGGTCTGAGGCCCTGAGAGCCCCTCCAGGAAGCACCCGTCTCTTGGTCACCCTGATGCACGCTGTCCAGGGCCGCGGCCAGACGCACAGCCTCTCCCTAGGGCCCCTCGCTCCAGGGCTCTGCAGTGAACAGGTGACCACCAGGCGATTGACTGTCCAGGAGGGCAGCCTCTGGGACCAAGCTGGGCTGCCCCACGGGGGCCCCTCTGCCCCTGGGCTGGGCTCTCGGCCCCGGGACCCCAGCTCTGGGGCCGGGTCTCTTTGCACATGGCTCTGAGATCCGTGGGAGCCAGAGCGGCCTGGTCCTCGGCCCCCCTACACCCCCTTCCTGCTTCCTTTGTGAGTCACTTTCTGCCTGGAGGTGGCAGAGGCCGGTGCTGCTCTCTCGCTCCAGGGGGAACCCCAACTTCTCCAGCCTGCTGGAGGAGGGGGCTGGTGGGTCCCAGAAAAGCACCTGGTTCCGCCTCCTCTTCCACCTTTGTTCCTTGGGACTATGTCCCCATGGTCTAGGGGATCAGGTAGGGGGGGTACTTGTCAGAGCAAGGGGCTGTGTCGGAGATTACCAGGTTGTTCTGGTTTGGGGGACCCCGGGGGCATTTCCCCCTGCCGTCTCCGAGGCCCTGTTCCGTGAGGTGGCGCCCCATTCAGTCGGTGCAGGGGATTGGGCCCCCTCCCCCTCCCTGTCCTGCTTCTCTGTGGGGTCCCCACCTTGTGGACATGAGCGGGGGGGTGGGGAGGGGAGAGGGGTCCTGCCCCGTGGTGGCCCACACTGGCAATACGCCTCCCCCCTACACATGCTCTGTGTCCTCATACGCTTCCCCCCTACTCTGGCCAGGCCTCCTCAGCATTCGAGCTGGGAGCTGGGCACCAATGGAAGAGAGAGGGGCTCCAACCCGAATTGGGCCTGCTCCCACTACGGGATGAGGAGGGCCTGGATGGGGCTGGGGCGAAGGGAGCGAGAAGGGCTGGTATTCTTACAGGTGATCCCGGAGGAGGTGGCAGTTGAGCAGGGCCCCCCCCCCCCAAAGGAATGGGTTGAATGGGTAGTATTCATGGCTGCAGGAGGGAAAGGATTCCAGGATCAGCAGGTGCTAAGGCCCTGGGGCAGGAGGTGCCTGGTCAGCAGTCCATGAGGAGACAACATGGGAATTTTTGAGGCAGAGACAGGTAGAATAGAGCCGATGCACTTGGGGAAGAGCAGGGGCCAAGGGACTCAGGGCTCCCTAGACGGGGCATGGACCCAGCGGTTTTCCTGCAAATGTGGGAGGCTACTGGGGGGCTTTAGGCTTAAAGGGCCACGCAGCTGCTGAACACCCAGCGCACTGTAGGGCCGGAGTGCTGGGCCCGCATTTCCCGGCTCTGCAGCAGCAGCCACCCACACAGGGCTGGCACCCAAAGTGACGGGCAGGACCGAGGAGGGGCTTTTGCGGCATGCGCACGGTCCCCGGATGCAGGAGGGTGTTTCCAGGAGAGGTGGCTGGATGCCTCCTTCAGGACTCTGACCTCGCTCCTTGCTCTGCCCTGCGCAGCTGAGGAAGGAGATGGGCAACATCGTGGTGAAGCTCATGGAGGACTACAAGGACCATGAGGAGAACAGCCTGCAGGATGCTTGGGACTACGTGCAGGCCCAGGTAAAGGGGCAGCGACTCCGGGCTCCCAGGCTCTGCATGTCCGGGTGGGCCAGACCCTGCCTGCACGCACCCAAAAGAAAACACATTTGCAGCCTGTGTGTGAGCGTGTGTCTCCAGACCTCCTGGCCGGCTACCTCAGCCACCGCCTTAGCCCCTCAGTCAGGACGTGGCGGCTGCCCCGTGGCTGACAGTGTGTTGCATCTCTGGCTGGAGACAGTCCACTGACCACCACCCCCACCCCCACCGCCTCGTGAGCCAGTTGGGGAATAGGCAGTGCAGGGAGTTCCGCCCCTGGGCTGAGGAGCTAGGCACCAATGGACTGACTGACTATAACCTGACAGATTCATTAACTATGGGCTGAGGGCAGGTGTTCTGATCCAGATGGGAGTGGCGGTCCCCCTTCTGGGACGGGCCTTCTGGAGAACCTTCCAGAATGAGAAGAAAATTCTAGCAACTCTTGATCCAGGTGGTGGTGATTCCAGCCTGTGCCTGGGGTCTAGGTGGGTCAGTGAGGGGCCGCTAGGTGGCAGAGTGAGCGGGGTTCCCCTGGGCTGGACCTCAGGGCCCGCCGTGCCCGAGATGCAGCCCAGAAGTGTGCTCAGTGCTGTGCACAATGTCATCTCGAGCCTCGTCTCTCAGGAACACGGGGCCTCGGAGAGCTCGCCAAGCTGGACTCGGGGGTCTTTAGTGAGGATTGTGCCACCCTCACGGCAGGCAGAGAGACGAAATGAAGACTCACCCACAGAGCTACCAATGGACAGGACTGACAGACTACAGGCTGACACACTGATTACAATATGGACAGACAGACCGTGGAATGACAGACTCATTGACAAGTCTGATGGTGGACAGACAAACTAGGGACTGACTGACAGATTCACTGACTGATTCTCTATGTGCTAACCAACAGTTTCACTGACTGACTATGGACTGACTGAGTTACTATGTATTGACTGATAGACTCCAGCCTGACAGATTCATTGACTATGGACTGACTGATGTCAGACTACAGCCTGACAGATTCACTGACTGTGGACTGACTGACAGACTATAACCTGACAGACTCACTGACTGGGCACTGACAGACTATAACCTGAGCGATTCACTATGGACTGACTACAGACTACAGCCTAAAGATTCACTGACTATACTGACTGACAAACTACAGCCTGACAGATTCTTTCACTATGGACTGACTGAATGTCAGACTATAGCCTGACAGTTTCACTGACTGTGCATTGACAGAAATACAGCCGACAGATCCACTGACTGTAGACTGACTGACAGACTATAACCTGACAGATTCACTGACTATGGGCTGACTACAGACTACAGCTTAAAGATTCACTGGCTGTGCACTGACTGACTGACTATAACCTGACAGATTCATTAACTATGGACTGACTGACAGACCACAGCCTGAAGATTCACTCACTATATTGACTGACAAACTACAGCCTGACAGATTCTTTGACTATGGATTGACTGATGTCAGACTATAGCCTGGCAGATTCACTGATTATGCACTGACAGAATACAACCTGACAGATTCACTGACTGTGGACTGACTGACAGACTACAGCCTATCAGACTCTAACTATGGACTGACTGACAGACTATAGCCTGTCAGATTCACTGATTGACTATGAACCGAGAATGTAGCCTGACTAGCCAAATGTGTGAGTAGTAAATTGACCAGATGACTGACATGCAACTAACAGCTGACTCTGTGGCCGACAGGTTGACTCCCTCATTGACAGAATAACCCACTGTCAAATGATTCATTGAATGAATGAATGGGTGGTAGACTGGTTGGTGACAGTATCACTCTCTGACAGTCTCAGTGGGCCCTGGTGGTGAACCTCCCTCTCCAGCTCAGACGCCGTTCGGCCCGAAGGGGGGCTGCCCCCTCAGTAGCCCCAGGTGCTGCGTGTCCCTCCCAGGACCTTCTCTCTGGGCTGCATCCTCCCCTCTGCCCTGTGTGCAGCTCATGGCCACTGCAGACCTGCCGGCACATCGTGGCCACTCCCTGGGGTGGGGGGGGGGTCAGTGTGGAGACCCCAGAAGTGTGGAGATGGGAGGTGGGATGGTTCAGACAGTGCAGGACGGGAAGGGGAAGGGGAGGGCAATGCTTTTCTGGCCCACAGATGTTGGGGGGGGCAGAGGGGACTGGGGAGGGGCCCAGCCTCGCTGGAGCCTCCATATACCTGACTTCTCTGGACCAACGATTGCTGGGGCCCAGCATTTGCTCGTGTTTGAGGGAGGCACGACCCAGGATGAGCCAAGGCCACCTTTCAAGTGACAGTGGAGGCACCCAAGAGAGAGTCCAGTGGACGCAATCTCCCACACCACATATGGTCCCCTGAGCCCATCCAGAGTGATCCTTGAGCACTGGGCCAGGAGTCACCCCTGAGCACTGCTGGGTGGAGCCCCCAAACCAAGCCAAAATAGGAACGCAAAAGGAGCCATGGGGAGGGATGGCCTTGGGAGAAGACGCTGACCGAGGGGAGACAGGATACTTAGGGGGTCCCCAGAGCAGGGCCCCGATGATTCTCGTGTCTGCCCTGTACTGCCCAGAGGACGCTGAGGAGGTCCACCGTGAGCCGGGCTCCCAGCAGCTGGCATAGCACCGCCGCTTCCTGGCCAGCCCTCCGAGAGCCTTGATTTCCTTGTCTGCTCAGGACGTGAGCGTGTGAAGCCAAGAGCCCGTGGCAGCCTGTGTCATGTGGCCCCTTGGTGGCAATGGTTGATTCCTCCAGAACAACCTCTGAGAGACATGGAGTGGGGCTTGGCTGGACACAGACCTCGGTGGCAGGGCAGTGGGCCTTTTGCTTGAGTGTGGGAGCGCCCCAGGGGGTGCCCCTCCAAGGCGCCAGACTCCCTGTCAAAGAGGAGGTGACCAAGTACCCCCCCCCCCCCAGCGGAGCGTGCCTGAGGGCACTGAGCAGCCTTAGCGCGCCCCCTGCTGGCCATGGCCGGTATGGGCCTCGCATGGTCGCTCAGAAGGCAGCAAGTGAAATGAGGTGATCAGCCCTTGGGGACCCCCCAGGGCAGTGCCTCCCTGGGACTCTGGCACAGTAGCCGAGGTCACTCCATCCTCCACGTGTGGAAGCCATGCTCGGAGACGTTCAGGAGGGTCCGACCACCACAGGCCAGGCCAGTGCCTGCCAGGAAAGCATGCTCCACCTTTTTAATTTAATTTTATTTTTTTGCCTTTTGGGTCACACCCAGCGATGCTCAAGGGTTACTCCTGACTCTGCACTCAGGAACCACTCCTGGCGGTGCTTAGGGGACCAAATGGGATGCTGGGAATCGAACCCAGGTCGGCCGTGTGCCAGGCAAACGCCCTCCCCGCTATGCTATCACTCCCACCCCATGCTCTACCTTTTCCGGACCCCTGTCCTTCTGACTTAGCCCTGTGTGGTCTTCTGGGTGCTGGTGGGAATTCCTGAGTTCCCAGGAGGGACCGTGTCTCCCTTTCCATTTTCGCTGCTCAGACAGAGTCTCGGCTCCAGCTGGCGCCAGCACCTGGAATGACCCGGCCAGTTAGAAACCCCCGCACCTCCCCCTTTTTTTTTTTCAGAAGGGGAAACTGAGAAAGAGGACTGTTGTGCTGGGACTCCAGGGCCAAGCAGCAGGCAGGTGGCAGCACTGGGGTCAGACTCCCACCAGCTGCCACCTGGGCCCCATACCCCCCCCCCCCCCCGCCCCGCCCCTACTCCACCCCCTCTGCTCTGGGAGCTGGAACCTCGCTCCTGCTCGGCTTCCTGCCAGGGGCCCGTCCCGGGCAGTGTTTGCTGCCTGATGAAACGTTTATGATGTGCGTTTCCGGGACGGCCCCTTCCACAGATGCTAACGTGAACCTGAAACCCCCAGCTCCGCAGGGCCCCGGCTGGGGGCGGAGGGGTGGGCGTTGGGCTGGGGGGCCAGGGGTGTGCTGGTGCGAGCAGACCGTCCCCTCCCCTCTCGCCCAGGCGAAGTGCTGCGGCTGGGTCGACTTCCGGAACTGGACAGTAAACGAGGCACTCAAGAACAGCACCAACATCACCTACCCCTGCTCCTGCCAGAACCTGGACGACCAGGACAATGACAACCCCATGGTCAAAAAGGGCTTCTGCCACGATGCCAACAAGACCCGGAGCGGCAACGACCCGGAGGACTGGCCGGTGTATCAGGAGGTGTGTGTGGGGGCGTGGAGGCAGCCTGCCTCCTTTTTCCTCAGCAACTCTAACTCTCCAAGCAGGGGGCAGACCCCTGGGCTCCCCAGGGGCTGGCAGGACTGGGGATGAGGGTGCTCTTCTTTCTCAGCCTGCAACTCTGTCACTCTCCATGTGGGGAACACACACACATACACACACACAAAGAGACACACACAGACAGTCACAGACACACAGACAGACATAGACACACAGATACACACAGACATGCACACAGACACGAACACACACAGATATACAGACACACACTGACAGACACAGACATACATAACAGACACACACACAAAGAGACACACATAGACACAAACACATAGGCAGACATACACACAGGCACACACAAAGAGACACACAGACACAGACACACACAAAGAGATACACAGACACACAGACACATACAGACACACAGACACAGGCACACACATGAAGAGGCACACAGACACAGACACACACGAAGAGACACACAGACACACACAGATACACAGATAGACACAGGCACACACACAGTTACACCAAGACACACACAGACGTACGCATAGAGACACACAGAGGCACACAGACACAGACACACACAGACACAGTTACACCAAGACACACACAGACACACACAGACACACACAGAGACCAGAGACATACGCACAGAGACACAGACACACACACCCCTGGACGTTCCCCGGGGACCTGGGAGGGGGTCTCTGAGCTGGGCTCAGGAGCTCCTGGGTGGGAGTGACGAGCCGGACCCCCCACTCCCCCCCCCCCCCCCCATGCAGGGCTGCATGGAGAAGGTGCAGGAGTGGCTGAAGGAGAACCTGGGCGTCATCCTGGGTGTGTGCGCGGGCGTCGCTGTCGTGGAGGTGGGTCCTGGCCCCTGCCTGCCCTGCCTTACCCGGGAGGGGGGGCCTGCCCTCCACCACGACCTCGGGGTGGGCTGGGGAGGGCCGGGGCGCGGCTGACTGTCCCCTCGTTTCCCCCCCCCTTGCAGCTCCTGGGCATGGTACTATCCATCTGCCTGTGCCGGCACGTGCACTCCGAGGACTACAGCAAAGTTCCCAAGTACTGAGAGCGCCGGGGGCCCTGCTGCCCACTGCCCCGAGTCCCCCCGCCCGCCCTCCAGACCCACCGCCACCTCACTGCCAAGAGTCCCGCCCCGCCTCACTGCCTGGATGCTGCCAGCCTGGAGCCGAGCACTGCGGGGGGGGGGGGGGGTCCCGGAACCCCTGCCCACCCACCCCCCGCCCCCATGGGTCTTCCTTAGCAAGTCGGAGAAAATGTCCCTTCCTCCCTTCCCCGGAGTGGGAGCCCTGCCCAGATGGGACGGGCCTATTCTGGGCCTTATCTCTATTCCGGGGGGGCTGTATTAAAAGTGGGTGGGGGGTCTGGCCCACCGTCGGGGGTCTGTCTGGGTGGGGGCAAGTGCTCCTGAACGCCCAGTGTCTGTCTGTCTTTGGTGTTCACTGAAGGAGGTGGGACGGGGGTGGGGGTGGAACCCCGAGCCCCGATGTGAGCCCACGGCCCCCCCCTTCCCCGCCACCCCAGCAGCTCAGAGTGGGGGCGGGGACTGAACCACAGAGGGGGACTTCCCAGGGGGGAGTCCCACGGGCCCAGAGCTGGCCCCCAGGGGTCCCAGGGAATAAGGTGTCGACTTCTCCCCCTCTCCTCAGAAGCTAGGCTGGCCTGTGCTTGGCCCCTGGGGACTGGAGGGAGGGGCGGCGGGGGGGGGGGCACGGGGAGTCAGGGGGGCCCGGAACAAAGTTCAGAAACGTCCACCTGGGACTCAGCAACTGACGATTAAAGAAGATTTACAACAACCCAGCCGGTGTGGCGGGAGCCTGACTTTCCTGGGGCGGGGGGGAGGGGAGGGCTGTCAGCGTCTGGGGGGGGGGTCCCTCCGCTGCCTCCCTGCCCCCACCCCACTTGGTGCATCCACGTCAGAATAGCCAGGCGTGGCTTCCTGAGCTGAGGCAGTTGCTGTTGGAGCTCACGGGTTCCTGCCCCTTCTCCCCGCCAACGGAAGTGATAGGTAGTGGGCTGGTCACAGCAGAAACCAGTCTTTGTTTAGAGCATGGAGGTTGGGAAGGGGGACCCCAAGGCCCCCAGGCGTGCTGAGTGCAAGGACTTGGTGCCACTTGTGCCGTGATCCTGGGGACCACAGGGCTTACTGGGCAGCGGGGGGGTGGTCTCTGGGCCTGCACCCCATGATGCCAGGGAGGCCGTGTAGGATGCTGGGACCAAACCCGGTCAGGCAGGTGCAGGACATCTGAACGATGAACGATGTCCCTGGCTCGGCTCCCCCCCCCCCCCACCTTTATTTCACCAAAGAAGGAAACAATTTTTATTTATTTATTTATTTATTTATTTTGCATTTTGGGTCACACCCGGCGAGGCACAGGAGTTACTCCTGGTTCATGCACTCAGGAATTACTCCTGGCGGTGCTCGGGGGACCATCTGGGATGCTGGAAATCGAACCTAGGTCAGCTGCGTGCAAGGCAAACGCCCTACCTGCTGTGCTATTGCTCCAGTCCCAGAAATAATTTTTTTGTATTCAGAAAACATGAAGGAGCAAAATGAGTAGAACAGGCTGGAGCGATGATAGCACAGTAGGGAGGGCGTTTGCCTTGCATGCCACCCGGGTTCGATCCCCAGCATCCTATCCGGTCCCCCGAGCACCACCAAGAGCTGATTCCAGAGTTGCAGAGCCAGGAGTAAAACCCCTGAGCATCGCTAGCGGTGGCCCCAAGACCCCCCAAATACAAATAAAGTCAAATGAGCAGAGCTCAGGAGCTCTGGAAGGTGCAGCGGGAGCATCTTCAGGGAATGCTTGTTTTCCGTCTGGAGTTAGGGAACGTTTTCCCATTTTTATTCACTGAATTCACAGAAAGAGCCAAAGGTCAGTTTACAGAGCTCCGGAGCCCGTAACACAGTAGGGAGGAAGGACAGTGTTTCAGACACCCGGAGAAGGCTCAGGCGGCCGAGGCCGAAGTTCTGGCTGAGCGACCTGTACCGGGCCACGCTCATTTCCGCATCTTCTCGGTAAGTTCTTCCTTGTGTTTGTCCTTCTCTCTCTCACCTAGTTGAGAGTTGACTTCCTGTTTAGCGTTTTTTTGTTTTGTTTTGTTTTGTTTTGTTTCTAATCATTGTCTGGTTCTAGCCTGGTGGTAACCACCTTGCTGGGTTTTGTTGTTGTTTGTTTTGTTTTGGGGGTCACACTTGGTGGTATTCAGGGGTTACTCCTGGCTCAGCACTCAGGAATCACTTCTGGTGGTGCTGTGTGTGTGTGTGTGTGTGTGTGTGTGTGTGTGTGTGTGTGTCCTACGGGGTGTGGGGGATCGAACCTGGGTCGGCCACATGTCGGGCAAGCACCTTACCTGTTGTCCCGTCACTCCAGCCCCCTTGCTAAGAAGAAGGAACCCACCCCACGCCCCCCACAGGGAGGCGGGATTCTCTTTTAGGACGGCTTCAGCAAGTCCCCTTTGGGTAGGATGGCTCTGGAAATCTGGAGGAAGAGTTGAGATTAAGGGCACCTGCCCTCCACCCCCATCCCCATCTCCTGGAGGAAAGGGTGGAGACCCACCTCCAAGGGTCTGGCCAGGGCAGTGCGCTGGAGACAGTCCAGCAGTACGCTGGAGATAGTCCACCAGGGACCACCAGGTGGCGCTATTGCCCCAGCCCAGGAGTCCAGCCAGGTTCCCAAGTTACTCCCAAGGTTACTTCAGGCCTCTCGCGCTCCTGTGATCTACCTGGTGAAAATACAGATTCCAGGGCTCAGGAACCCCGCCCTCGCAATCTGGGCTGGGGCCAAGGAATCTGCATCCTCTTTTGCTCTGTGGTTTGACCTTTTTTGAGGGGGATGGGTTCTGGGTTTTGTTTTGAGACCACACTGGGCAGTACTCCTTGCTCTGTGCTCAGGGCTCACTCCTGGCGGGGCTTGGGGCGGAGGTGGGGTGGGGAGGGACCCGAAGGGGTGCGGAGGATCGAACCCAGGTCAGCCACGCTCAAGGCAAGCGCCCCCCGCCCCCCCCCACCCCCCCTGCCCACTGTCCTGTCGCTCCCGCCCTCAAGAATCTGCATTTTGGCCACATTTTCTCGGTGATTTGATTCCTGCGCTGCTGGTTTGGGCATCTCAGATCCAGTAAGAAATCTCAGGCACAGTGGGGCAGGAGGCGGGTGGGGGTGGGAAGTGCGCTCACCGTGCCCTCGGCAGAAGTCGGGATGTACCTGCATCACCAATGCTCTCCATCCCAGCCTTCCCCGTTTCTTCTGCGGCTTGTGGCGGAAATCCACGCGGCGAGAGCCAGGTCTGCAGCCAGTGGGAGGTGCCAGGCACCGCCCCGGGTGCCAGAGAACCCAAAGCTTCGTGGGGCTGGGTCCCCAGGTCACAGGCTTTCCCCTGACCCTAACCCCACCTCCCCGGCTGCAGGTTCTGAGCCATCCCATCCAGCCTGGTTCCTACCCCACCTCCTTCCGCAGGGCTGTACATATAATAAAGCATTAAACCTGATTGGGGAAACTAAGCATTCATCACCGAGTGTAGACGGACCAGGACGGTGGTGGCAAGAGCCCAGCCCCCCACCCACCCCCCATGGCCAGGGCCCTGACTAAGGCACCCACTGCCTGGGCTCTCCGAAGCCCACGCGTGCTGCAGACGCAGACGGCACTCGGCTCTCCCCGTGTGATTAGCTGTTAGTCTATTCTCAGAGCAGGGCAGGTGAGGGGTGGGGAGGGAGCCCTCCCTGCTGGCACTTGGGGAACCCATGCTGTGTCAGGGTACGAGCTCCCGGGATTCCACTTAGCCCCTCGGACAAGGACACTGCAGGACGGGCCCGCCTGGGACAGAGGAGGACAAAGAAGAACAGATTCAAGAACCCCTCCTGCTCCCTATCACCCCTGCGACACACACACACACACACACACACACATATACCAGGTGACAGTGGCACCCAGAGCCCGGCCAGGCTTGGCCCGTCTCCCTCCCCGGCCCCTGGGTCGGCCTCTGCGATGGCAACGATGACAATGTAGACCTGGGCTGGGGTCTCTGCCTACTCCCCAGCAGAGGGGCTTGGGCTCCTGGAGGGGGAGTAGATGGGATGAATGGAACCTTGGCCAGGGTCCTGCCTTCCCAGAATCCGAGTCAGAGGGATGACTGTGTCCCGTGGCCTTGCCCAAGCTGGCCACCCCCTTCCTCCCTCTGTTCTGCCAAGGTTGCGGCCTTGGTGGGGGGTGTGCAGGGAGGAGCTGGGTGCTGAGAGGGCAGGGCGCCCCGGGGGAGCATGCAGGAGGCTGGGGGCTCCCTGCAGGAGGGTCCTGGGGGGCAAGGGGGGGCAAGGACCTGGGGCGTTGCAGCCAGTATCTGCCCTACAGGGGTCTCAGGACCTCCCAGGCATCCGGAGCGGGAGCCCCTCAGCATGGGGACGGGTGGGGGGGTCCGGCCAGGCACCCTCTCTCCTCCCCTCCCCTCAGACCTGGGCCAGGGAAGGTATAGAGGTGCTGGCGCCATCCAGGAAGCTGAGCCCTCCCCCACCCGCAAAGAGCAGCAAGAAACTAGCGGTCCAGGAAGGGTTTCAAGGCCAGGGTTGAGTTGGGCTGATGCTCCGGGCTCCAGGCTGGCCAGGAGGATGTGAGTGGGGGGAGTATGGGAGGGGAGGCGGCAAACGGGAAGTGCCCATCCCAGCCTGGACCCTCCTTCCCCGGCAGCCCCTGCCCCGCCGAAACCCAATCCAAGGCAAACAGCTGCACCTGCCAGTGCGCCAGGGCTCATCCTGCCTGGCCGGAGGGGCTGTAACCCCCGGTCCTGGCCGGACCAGCGTGGGAAGGGAAGAAGCTGCTTCCCAGCCGGCCTGTTCCCACACTCCAGGCTTCAGTGGGCTTCCTCATCCCCACCCCTGCATACCAGGACCCCTGGAAAGAACAAGCCGGTGGGAGACCTTGGGTGTCTCCAGGTGGGAGCTCCAAGAGGCTGGAGTAGGGAGGGACACACACTGGTCCCCAGCCCTCCTGATTAGGGGCCAGATGCTCCCACCTGAGGCTGCCCTCTGCCCCACACATCCCCGCTGAAGTCATTTCCCCAGCACCTGCCTTCTGGGCTGGGAGAACTGCCAGGCACAGAGCCAGCCCCCACCCCCACCCCACTAACGTCACCCCAGATGTGCCCTGGGGAATAGGAACGGGCTTCCTGCAGGATGTGAGGTGCGGGGGTGCTAAGGGGAGCAGCTGGGACTTCAGGTGGGCTGAAGGGATGGAGAAGAGGGAGGGGACGGAGTTGGAGAGGCCCCGGTGACCTGCTGGAGAGCCGTGGGGAGGAGGTACTGGTCAGGGGTTCTGGCCTCTGCCCTGGAGCACTCCTAGGGAGTCTGGGGGGACGGTCATCCCTGCAGTCAGTCCTCTGGGTCCTGGGTTAGGGAGGGCTCGGAGTCCTAGGGCCCAGCAGGCACCCTTGTTCCTAGGTCTGGTCACATGGAAGGAGAGAGTGAGTTTTCCAGAGGGGCAGATTCCAGAGCCCAGGAAGCCCACAGAAAGGAGAGCAGAGGGAGAGCAGGGCTGTGACCAAGTCAACCAGACCAGAGCTAGGAAGAGAGCTGAGTTGGCTGGTCGGGCTGGGACAGGTGTCTCCTTCCCATCACTGTCATCTTCACCATCACCACATCACTAACACAACCATCGTCAACGTTACCATCAACGTTACCGCCATCATCACCAC